TCTTCCTTCCCCTCTTTTAAATTCACTTGCATCCTCCTTCCAAATGGCAAAATATTGGTCTCTGTGTGTGTGTAAATATTGACATTGACAATCATCATTTGCAAGCTGTCGCTGAGTCACTGGGGTTGCCAAATCATCATTTTTCTTTCTTTTCTTTTAAATTCGTGACGGGTTTGGTTAGATTTACCCACCTCTACACTAGAAACCAAATACATATGGTAGAAAGTCTTTTCCGTATTGAATGTTATTTCAGTATTTTTCAACTTCAATTTGGTGGAACAATGTGTCCTGAGGCAAATCAGAGCTGCAATCACGGACTCTCTGAATTTGGCCGGTTAATGGTCAAGTCAAGCTCAACGGAAGAGTACATGACCGGGCCAGAAACCAAAAAATAATAATAATTGGCGGGTTCGCATGTCGGGTATGTGAAAATTGTATCTTTGCAGGTATGCCAGTGAACTTCTTATACGGCAATTGGCGTTACGTATAATGACTTGACTATGATTCAGATAATAGATTTGAGAGAGGAGATAAAATTGCACCTACCTTTATGCAAGTCATCGAGAAATCATTTTAACATGACATAATATACAAAAGCACTTATAAAAAGTGAAAACCCCAAAACTAGTTACTTGTTATTTTCTCGTTAGTTTTTATAAAATTTTAATACATTGAGAGCCAATTAAATAATAACAAGTGACTAGCTTTTGGGTTTTTTCTCTCCAAATACACTCTATATGAGTTTTTATATAATATGTCTGTATATGATTCTAAGACATTTGAATTTTCCTTCATGTTATATTGATCAACAAATTATGCCATATGAGCATTTCAAATCAATACACAAGAACAAACAAAACCCAATTCTTTTCCTACTTTGTCAATTGGGCTTCCTCCACACTCCCCGGCCCACTCACATTCTGGGCCTCCTCAAACTCCTTAATCAAATCAGGATCAACATTCTCCTCCGGCTCCCACGTGGCCTCATCTATATCCGTCCATTTCACCAAGTACTCCATCGTCCCTTCATCCCCAACTCTCTTCCCCACCACACCCTCCGCCACGGCGTACTCGAGCCCAGCCTCGAAATCCCGCACCAGATCGTCATCTATCAACTTCGCGTTGACCCACTCGTTATCTCCACCGTCCTTCCATTTGACCAAATACTCCACGCGATCCCCCTTCCCTCTCTTCTCCAGCAACTCCTGCACCTCGGCGTACTCGAATATTGCCCCTTCGAGCTCCCTAATCACACTCTCCAGCCCCAACCTTCTCGCGAAATGCATCGGGTTCCCCTGCGGCGTCGTTTTAAGTACCTCCTTAGCCAAATCCAACGGCT